TATAAAATAGGGATAATAACCTTCTAATGATTAGACAAAGTTATAAGACAAAGATGTGATATAAAAAGTTTTCTAAATAAATGGAATAGTAAATTTTGAGAAAGCAACAGGATTAGACTGTTTTCTCTAAGAGCTATATATATGTGTATATGATTAGCTTCCAAATTTATTTATCATGGAAATTCAGGCTAAGGATAGAAACAGCAAATGGTATATGGACTGAAATTCTCTGAAGTTTTAAGATTAGAGAACCAAATTTACTAAGTTGTATTGTCTTTTTACCAGCAGAATTATCTAGGAAACTACAGTTTTGGAACCAGAGAAGCAGAGCCCCTTTAGAGCCATCCTGAGAATAAGCCTATTGTCCAAGAAAAGATATCTAGGGACCAGATAACTACATGAGACACCTGGGACTCAAAATGTGCTGATTAAACGGGTATTGAGAATGGGTTACTAGGATACAAGGAGGCTCGATGTCAGTTAACATTCGTGATAATTATTGTATTGCTTTGCATGGTTTATGTGTAAGTTTTCTTGGTTACCTTGGTGACATGTAAATTTCCCTTATCAGACCTAGTCCATTGTGAGCCCTCCAAGTATTTAATGTAACCTGACTTAATGTAATTATGATAATGAATTTATGAAAAACTTTATTGCATTTATCTGCACGGTTGGGAAACTGGACCTTCTCTATGTACTCTTTAGAGATCCTTAACGAAGGACCTATGTTATGCTAACCAGAAACTCAGATCCAAAGATTGATGCAAGGAGTTTTCTCACAATTGTACAGCTCAAGAAAGCCATGTGTCTTATCTGACAACTGGCAATTAGTCATTGTTTCTAGGTGCCCCTATCAGGTTCTTCTGACTACTCCCCTAGCTGTCAAATTTGTGTGTGTGGACTCTGGGATCATCTGAAGAAAGTCCTTGCTCTTAAGTGGATGGCAGAACCCTCCAGGGACCTCAAGGTTCATCTAGTACAGACCCAGAAGCAGCTGACATCCAGATGAGATAGCTATCCCAAGATTTTGGATGAGGGCTGTATATACTGTGCTAGGTTGTTTTTTTTCCCTCTTCCCTTTTGTTGTGTTCCCAACCACCAAAGCCGTGATTCAAGAGTGTGTTGGCATTTTCTCCCTCTACATCCTTGGCCGCCCTCTCATTTCTGCTTTCAGGCAAACAATGGCTAGCAATGATACCTGGGTCACACTTCCCCAGTAGGTCACCTCAAAGAACTGTCCTGATATAAAAATGCTCATTCTGACCCAACTGGCTTTGCGTATCTTGGTTTACACCTGCCTCTCCTTTATTGGGCAGAAGGGTAGGGGTTCTTTCAGAATACCTCTCTTTGGCCGAAAGAGATAAATATCAAGATATTAGGAGACACCCTGTTTTCCAGGGATAAGGCCCAGCTAGCAAGCTGTGCCCTGAGCTTGGCATAACAACAATCCTTTGCACTCACCCACTGGATGATCTCACCTTCTGCCAAAATAATATAGAGTATTGCTTTGACCAGCCCCAGATGTTGTCTGAGCTTGGACAAGCACCTCTTGTGTCCATGTTCTGGTCATGAACTCCTGCTGTGAATCAAACTTGTCACATTGTTGCTATTACCCCTCATGGTCAGGGCTACAGCTCACTTCATGGGCCCTTGGTATAAGTACTGAGATATTGTCACAGGAAAGCAGGTGCCCCCCACTAGGGGCAGGGCTCCAGCACCAGGGTCTTTGCTTGCAATCCTTTTTCCTCACTTCAAAATTAAACTTCTGTTTGATTCCTGACTCTTCTGTCTCCAGCCTGCTCTCTTCGGCTTCTGCCACCCCCAAGTTAGAGTCTGGTTCCGTTTGGATGACACTGGAAAGAGTTTCTTCGCCTGCTTTCTTCGGCTTCTGCCACCCCCAAGTTAGAGTCTGGTTCCGTTTGGATGACACTGGAAAGAGTTTCTTCGCCTGCTTTCTTCGGCTTCTGCCACCCCCAAGTTAGAGTCTGGTTCCGTTTGGATGACACTGGAAAGAGTTTCTTCTTCTTCTTCTTCTTCTTCTTCTTCTTCTTCTTCTTCTTCTTCTTCTTCTTCTTCTTCTTCTTTTCTTCTTCTTCTTCTTCTTCTTCTTCTTCTTCTTTTCCTCCTCCTCCTCCTTCTTCTTCTTGTTCTTCTCCTTCTCCTCCTTCTTCTTCTTGTTCTTCTTCTTCTCCTCCTTCTTCTTCTCCTCCTCCTCCTCCTCCTCCTTCTTCTTCTCCTTCTTCTTCTTCTTCTTCTTCTTGTTCTCCTTCTTCTTCTTCTTCTTGTTCTTCTTGTTCTTCTTCTTCTTCTTCTTTTGATGAATAATACAGTGGACAGACCATGGACACTAGAATAAGAAGACTCCAGTTCAAATGGCAACTCTGTGACTTTGGACAAGTCACAACTCACTTCTCAGAGCCTCAGATTCCTCAATAATATAAGGGGGTTGAATTAGGTGATCTACAACATTCCTTCCAGCTTTAAATCTGGGATCTTTTGTGTTAAGTTCTTCCAACTTCTTGACTTGATTTTGATTCCCCTCTGCTTCTTCAGAATTTTTTTTCTGACTTACTGATTATTTCTTTCACCTGAGGAATGCTTCTTCCCTAATAATTCATTTTAGAAACATTGTGAATAAACTACTAGTTTTCAAAGATCTAGCTGTATCACTCACCAAAAAAAAGTGTACAGCTTTTTAGATAAAGTGACACTTCAAGTGTGATTGAAAAGAAGAGGAAAAGAAAATTTGTTTTCCATCCCCAAATTTCAAGCTAGGGGATATACTAATTTATAAGCTAGTATATAACATAATATTAGCATACCACATTATTATGTACTAATATAATATATATTGTGTGCTATATTAGATTAGCATACCATATTACATATTATTACATAGGACATAATAATAATATAAGATTAATCATATTGAGAGAAATAGTTTAGTGGAGATAGCATTGGCCTGGTAGTCAGGAGGTCTTTGGTGCTTTTCCCAAATCTGAAACTCCCACCTTCATATTTTTTTGTTTTGTTTTGTTTTGTTTTTTCTTTTGACTTGACCTAGGATTTCAACTGTGTGTGGAGGTTCTGGTGAAGAATTTCCACTACTAATTGCAGATCAGTACCTTTTCTGTAATTCATAGTCTTAGAGAGTAGTCTAGTACACGTTAATAGGTAAACCATTTGTTTAAGGTCATACGGCCGATATGTTTCTTGAAGTAAAATAAATATCATGGACTTAGAGCTGAAAGGGATTTTAGAGGTCATAGTCAAATCCTCACCCATTTTACAGGTAAGTAAAGTAAAAGCCAGAGAAGTGAAGTGATTTACACAGTCATGAGGGTAGTAAGAGAAGGAACCAGTAATCAAACCTGGGTCCTTTGCTCCCTTCCAGGAGGCATTAAATATCATATTTGTATTTTTGTTCAAGGCAATTTGTTTTTGTTGTTGAATGGTTTCAGTCCTGTCTGACTCTCTATGACCACATCTGGCAAAAGGGAGCCACCAAAAAAGTTTTGGAAAAATAGAAGTAAGTGGCTTCAGTGGCTAGAGCCTTGGACTTGGAGTCAGAACGATCTGAATTCAAAAATGACCTCATACTAGTGGCAAGTCACTTAACTTAGGGCAAGTCTGCCTCAGTTTCCTCATCTGTAAAGTGGGACTAATAATAACTACCTCCCAGGGTTGTTGTGAGTATAAAATGAAATTTTTGTAAAGTGCTTAGCACAGTGCCTGGTACACAGTAGATGCCTAATATATGCCCATTGATTAGCTGCCATCATAGATTTGGAAAAATAAGAAGCTCTACAATTTCAAAAATACTCATACTTGTATCACAGGCTGCCTTGTTGTTTTATTTTGCTCTGTTTAGTTTTTTAAAATTTCATCCATAGTATTGTCCGTCCCCCACCCCCACACCCCAAGAAGACTAAAAAGAAATGGAAAAGATGCCTCCAAGGAGAAAACCCCAAATTCAACGGATTTCCTCCTTATTCCAGGAAGTAGTCACATTGCCCCTGCAGGGTAGTGGAAAGAGTCCTGGATTTCAGATCCAGCCGTGCTGCTCATATTCCATTAGCTTGTGCTAGTCACTACAACCACCACCACCATCATTACCATCACATACACACACACCGCGCCCCCCTCGAGGAAGCTTCGGCTTCCTCATCCGTAAAAAAAATCAGGGGTTGGACTCGATGACTGAATGCTAAGTTCCCTAATTGAGCCTTCAGAGACTGCTCTCTTTACCTCCCTCCACAAAAAGGAAAAAAAAATGAATAAATAATAATAATAATAGCAATGACAACTCCCTGTTTTAAAAAAAAATCTTTGGGAATGACTAGCAGACAGCACCTCCGCCCCCTCCCAAAGCCCCCCCAAAATGAAATAAGCAGACATGCACCGATAGGTCAAGGAAATCCCAGGGAGTTCCAAAGTTTGCTCTCCCACCGAGCAGGCGTCCTGAAAGAGCTGCAGCCGCTGGCCTGAAGGGCACTGGCCAGAACCTGCAGCAGAGGGCGAGGAACCCGCGCCCGCCTTTCCACCTGGGCCATTCCACTTTCTGAGGGTAGAGGTCGCCACGCAAGGGGTCCTATGGAACCGCTGAGTCCAATTACTGGGGAGCCAAGGCCGAAGAAGGCAAGAAAAGTTCTTTCCGTGGGTGGGGGAACCATGGACACTCGACGCCCTGGACTTAGGAGCCCCAGGGTTTCTTCTTCAGTCTATTTCCCGAAGGCCTGACGTGTACAAAAGCAAACCACGGGCTGGGGGAATGGTTGTCTACTTGGTCTCCCTTCCACTCTAGCCCACTCTGCTCCCGTCAAAAAACCATCATTACATTACAAAAGCCAACCTACTATTACCAAAGCCGGAAACGCCTGCACGAGCTCCCAGTGCCCTGACATTTCTGCCCCCACCCCTAGGTGGCAGGTCCCTCGCGCCCACTTGCTACCTGCAGCAGGTAGGAGCTGTCAAAGCTGGGCAGCCGTTTGGCTACCTACCTGCTCGCCTGCCTGGCTCTCTCCAGATGTGGCCGCCCGCTGCAGCTGCCTCCGCTGCTCTGCCAGGCTGCGAGCAAGTTGTTCCTGGCCAGGGGAGGTGCGCGCTTCCGAGCCGCAGTGGAGGGAGGGGAGGATGGAGGGCGGAGGGCGGGGGATGGCTGGAGGTGGAGGGATGGAGAGATAGAGCAGAGACAAGAAAGGAGCTTGTATTGGGAGGTCAGCGGTCACCTCTAACCCCCAGAGCGCCAGATTGCCGCCTGCGGTGATGTAGGAGGTAAGGTTGGAAGGGGACATCTTTCCTGGGAAGACTATAATCCCAAGCTGCTGAACCTTGAGAACCACTCGGATTCCCTGGGGTAGGAAAGGCAGGAGAGGGAAGGGAAGCCCCATCTCCTGCGCTGAGCAACCAGCAGCGTACATGTGCAAAGCTTGTCCACTCACCCCTTTTGCAGAGGTGTCTCTTCTATTCAGTCAAAGATAGGAGCCGAAGGAGGGAAGAAAAAAAGAAAAGAAAAGAAAAGAAAAGAAAAGAAAAGAAAAGAAAAGAAAAGAAAAGAAAAGAAAAGAAAAGAAAAGAAAAGAAAAGAAAAGAAAAGAAAAGAAATTAAATTTTTTTTAGTAATGGACTGACTCACTTTCAAAGCAACAACCTGCCTTATTGTCTCCCTTTTTCTGTCTTCCCCAGCTCTGCAGTGTGCCTGGTTGGCCAACTTTAGATCTAATCTAAAAGGAGGGGCATGAAAGCCAACTATGTAGAAAATTGAAATTCATAGATAAACAGAGACCCAAATCCCCATTTTAGTCACTAGGCTTAGCCTCTTTCCCAAGTCAGCCTCATCAGAGCTGTCAACAAATCATCAAAACCTAAGGGTTAACATTTTATCTCCTATTATTTCTCCCACACCCCCTTACAGGCAGAAATACTAATAGGTAGTCAGATGAGGCTACAACAGCACCCCCACCTCCAACCCATAGAAGAGACAAGGTAGATAGACAATTAGTGATGGAAAAATGGGACATTCCTGCTAGGAAAAAAAACAAACAAGCTGGCATTTATGTAAATGTGTGTGTGTGTGTGTATGTGTGTGTGTGTGTGTGTGTTCATAGGAACCTTGTGAGTAGTTAGTCTCACACGCAGCCCTGTACACAGGGTGGCAAGGCACACTTAAATGCCTTCCCTCAATGGATATTTTTGTGTTATTTTTGTTTAAGTAAATCTCAGTTAATTTTTAAAAATTTGACTTGGTTAATCTCTGCTTTCTTTAATCTTGTTTAATGAATAAAAAAGTTTTATAATTGAATATTTAATAAACATTCACCTTTTAAAAAACAAAAATAAATAAAGTTCCCTGGGTGCACATTCTAATCAAATATGCCTTGCACACCTAGATGGGTAGTACAAACACTATCAATCCCATTTTACAGATTAAGGAACTCAAAGAAATTTAAATGACTCACCCAAGGTCACAAAGCTGATCAGTAGCAAAGTCTTCCTAGTCCAAACCCAATGTCCTTTCCACTCTGCCATAGTTCCTTCTCCATAAAACAATGTAGCCTATTCTGTCCTTCACTTTCATCTTTCTCTTTCTACTCCCAGCATTGCAATGTGATTTGCAGGAAGTCAAAGAAGCATACTCTGTCTTTCCTTGATATAAATTGTGGACATTATATACCAATGACTTCTTTTTTATATTCCTGTTTGATTAGAATAGATTGTGCAGCTCTGGTCTTACACTCTCAGTTCCTTCAATCAATAACCCAATACTAGACAACTCCTCAAAATATTCATTTTCTTTTTTCTTTAAATTTGTATTGGTATCTTTCAAATTTATACCACCTTTGTTTCCCAACATATCCCACCCCCATACAGAAAACAATCCCTTAAAATAAAGAATAAAAAAGAAAAAGAAGACAGTTAGGCAAAACTTGCCAATTCACCAAATATGCCCAAAAGTATGTGTAGTACTTTATGGGAATGTCAGGGATGGCCAATGACCTTCATATATCCACAGTCCACCACCTCTGCAAATAAGAGAGGGAAGTATAGCCTCTAATCTCTTCATTATGATTATATGCCTTTCAGTTTTAATTTTGTTGTTGCTGCTCTTTCCATTTACATGGTTGTAGTCATTCTATATATTATTGTTCTTTATTTTGCATCAGTTCATCTGTCTTCTCATGTCTCCCTACAGTCTTCATGTTGATTGTTTCCTATGGTGTAGTAATATACCATTATGTTCACTTGCCACAATCAGTTTAAGCCATCCCCCAGTCAGTGGACATCTACTTTTTTTCCAATTCTTTTTTATTATAAAAAGTGTTACTATGAATATTTTGGTATATATTAGACCTTTCTATCCTTTACATCCTTAGAGCACATGCCTAGTAGTGAAATCATTTGGTCAAAGGGCATAAGCATTTTAGTCATTTTTGTCCCATAATTCCAAATAGCTTTCTAGAATGTTTGAATCAGTTCACAGTTCCAACAGTACATTAATGTGTCCATCTTTCCACAACCCTTCCAATAACAACTATTTATTATATAAGATATTATAGATGAATATTTGCCTCTTTAGTCATTTTCACCAATTTTTTTCATATGAGGGAAATATCTTAGAGTTGTTTTGATTTGCATTTTTCTTATTAGTGGTGACCTGGAGAAACTTTTCATTATTAAATGTTTGCAATTAAAAGTTTGCTATTAAAAATTTGCAATCCTTCTTTTGAGAACTGTTTATTTATATATCCTTTGGACGTTTATCCCTCAGGGAATGACTTTCAGTCATCTATTTTGGAAATCAGAATCTTAGCAGATATTCCCTTCTAATGTTAGTTACACTAACTTTGATAGTACAAAGCCTTTTCAATTTCATGCAATTGATATTCTATTTTATCTTTTGTGAGCGTGTCTGTGTCTTACCAAACCATTTATTTTTGAAGAGACTATTTTAGATTAATCTTGAGGAAGTTCTCAAAGTCCCACTTAGGATAAAAGCTTTTATAAATGGCATTTTCAGCATGTGTTTACACCCTATTGTCTCATCTCCATCTCTTTCCTTTTAAATATTGAGTCGTATGTGTATAGAACTTACAATTACAATGTCATTTCTTCCTTGATCACATTTCAATTCAGCAGAACAAATATTATTTAAATGTCTGCTCTGTGCTAGGCACTATGCTAAATGTTAGGGAGACCAAACTAACAATGAGATGGTCTTGGTCCTCAGGTGATTTATTCTACTGGAGAGATGCAATGGGTAAGTAAAGGAGAGATACACAAATAAGTAAATTCAAAGTAATTTTAGGGCAGAAAGAAACAGTCGATTCATCATGTACAATTCTTTGTGACCCCATTTGGGGTTTTCTTAAAATAGTAGAGTGATTTGCCATTTCCTTCTCCAGCTCAGTTTACAGATCAGAAACTGAGGCAAACAGGGTTAAATGACTTGCCCAGGGCTACACAGCTAGTAAGTGTCAGGCTGGATTTGAACTCAGGTCTTCTTGACTCTAGGCCTGGAGTTCTATCCACTGCACCATGTTGCTGCTCCAGAAAGAACATTAATGAGTGGAAATAACAGCAAATTCTTCATATAGGAGGTGGCATCTAAACTGAGAACTGAAGGAAGCAGGGTGATCACCTATACAAAGGCATGGAGATAGGAGGTGGCATGATGAGTTCCTGGAATATTTAGTCAAACAGTTTGACTAAAACAAATAATGTGTAAAGAGGAATAATAAGGAATGTCTGGAAAGATGGCTGGGAATCAGATTGGAAAGGGTTCAAACAGCATGCCAAGCAGTTTGCACTTATCCTAGAAACAATAGGGAGTCACAGAAAGGTTTTGTATGGGGGGGGTGACATGTTGAGAGTTGTCTTTTCAAAATATTAATTTGGTAGTTATGTGTAGGATGAACTGATACTGAAATTAATTGGAAATAGAACAATTAGGAGGCTATTACAGTAGATCAAGTGAGAAGTGATAAAGACTTGCATCGAGGTAATGTGCCTGTTGAATGGAGAGAAGGGGATGGATGGGAGAGGTAGAATACAACTAGTATCACAAAAAAAAAACTTGGCAACGATTAGAATATAGGAGAACACAGAGGCAAAGCATGTGCAAGAGTCAAGTATGACTCCAAGGTTGCAAACTTTAGCAATAGAAAGATGCTGATGCTTCATCAGAATGAGGGACTTTGAGAGGAGGGATTGTTTGGAAGGGAATATAATGAATTTAATTTTGGTCATGTTGAGACACTAGCAGGCAGTTGAAAATGAACGCTGAGTTCAAAAGAGAAATCAGGACTAGATCTACATATCTGGGAATCATCTGCATAAAGAGGATAATTGAATCCAGGGGAACTGACCAAATCATCAGAGACAGATTGTGGAAAGAGTTCAGGACAGAAGGTTGGGGAAGAAGGGAAGACACGATACCTGTGTAGGACACAGAACAAGAAGGCTAAGAAAGAGCAGTCAGCAGGTAGGAGACCCAAAACAGAATAACAGAAACCAAAGGAGGAAAGAATATCTAAGAAGAGGAACTGGTTTTTAACAATGTTAGAAACAGCAAAGAATCCAAGAAGAATGAGGAGAGAGAAAAAGCCATTGCACTTAGCGGTTGGAATATTGTTGGTAACCTTGGAGAGGCAAATGCTTGTGGAATAGATTGCAAGGGTTGAGAAATGAGTGGGAGATGAGAAAATGGAAGTACCATGGATACCACTCTCTGGGAGTTTGGGTGTGAAATGGAAAAGAGAAAAAGCGTGAAGACATTTAGGATGAAAGAGAGTTTGTCAACAACAGAGTGCATGTTCCAGATTCAATGAAATGGAAGGGCTCAGGAGGCTAGGGATGAGGGTACAAGAAAACACAGGAGGGGGAAAATTTCCACCTTGGTAGATGTCAACTTCGAATCACAGATAAAAGGTCATTCACAGCTTCTGCCTTTTGCAAGAGGCATGCATATATGCTTGTGTAGGAATTTTTGAAAGACTCTGGAAAGACAGTAGATGCATGTGACCAAGTGCCAATGTTACTTGAGAACCCCCAGGTGAGAGAATTGTTACATTGACCTCTT